AATAATTTTGTGCATAATTATTAGGCAAGTGAGTATTTTGATCATATCAGGGGTGGGTTCTACTTACCTTTACTACCGGTTCGTGACCGGACCACACGTGCGTGCGTGCTTCACTCACACACGTTCTATCTCTTCTGAGCATGCACAGAAGCATTCCAATGACGTTGGGGTCAGTAGGCGGAGCCTCCCACCGGTTTTACTACTGATTCTATAGAACCGGTGCGAACCTGGGGAACCCACCACTGGACCATATCATCATTTTTATGCATATTTTCTACCTCCAAGCTGTATAAATTTGAATGCTTAGTGGATATAAGATATCAGGTGATGTGTATTTGTGTAATGAGGGAGGGTGTGGCCTAAAGAGATCAACACCCTATATCAAGGTGTGCATAATTATTCAGTAGCTTCTTTTCCTCAGACAAAATGGGCCAAAAAGTGAACTGACACTGAAAAGTCAAAAATTGTACAAAGTCTTTCAGAGGGATGCAGTACTCTTGAAATTGCTAAGATATTGGGACGTGGTCACATAACCATCAAACATTTTGTTGAAAATAATCATCAGGGTTGCAAGAAACGTGTTGAGGTAAAAAGATATACATTAACTGTCAAAAATTTGGGAAGAATGAAATGTGAATCTACCAGGAACCCATTATCCTTCAGTGCTGTATTCCATATCTGCAACCTACCTGGAGTGCTCAGAAGTACAAGGTAAGGAAGGCTGAAACCCAGCCACCACTGAACAAGATACATAAGTTGAAACGGCAAGACTGGGCCAAGAAATATCTGAAGACAGATTTTTCAAAGGTTTTATAGACTGCTGAGATGGGAGTGACTCTTCACTGACCAGATGGATGGGCCTCGGCTGGATCAGTAATGGGCACAGAGCTCCACTTCAACTCAGATGCCAGCAAGGTGGAAGTAGGGTGCTAGTATGGCCTGGTATTATTAAAGATGAGCTAGTTGGACATTTTCGGATTGAAGATGGATTCAAAATCAGCTCCCAAAACCACTGCCAGTTTTTAGAAGACACTTTCTTCAAGCAATGGTACTTTTTTAAGAAGACCATGATTTTTATTAGGACAATGGCACTGAAACAAGGGACATGACCATTTTTCAGACTTTCAACTGTTGCAGCATTCCCAAAGTCATATGATCAAAATACCAATGCTTGGCATGTATGTATTTATGTATTTATGATAGCTGCAATGTTCTGGGGTCATGTAATAATCTTCTGTGACCTCCAACAAGCAAGGTCAATGGGGAAGATAGATGTATTTAATAGCTGTTGCTATCTTAACAGTGACTCAATTAGCAACTGTGGCAAGAAAGGTCATAAAATAGGGCAAAATTCATTTAATCACTGTCTTGGTTACCAGCAGAAATTTTGGACTCCATTATGGTCATAAGTCAAGAACTATCTATACCAGGAGTGGCAAACTCAAGGACTGCATCCAGCCCACAATAAGATTAGATCTGGCTCATGCAGCCATCCTGGAAAGTGTAAGGGGCCAGCCTGCATCGCTTTGGCCCTGCCTATGTCATCCCGGTGGGCAGGCGTGTGCACAGGAGGGGGGCACACAAGTGAACAGGCCCAGTTCTTGGCCGCTGCATGCAGAGCAACTAAAGTAGTCTGTGGGACTATGGTAAAAAAAATAGTTCAGACCTTCCAATCTTGTGAGGTTTGGGTTTGTTTTTGGTTTTTTTTGTGAGAAGTTGGAAGGTCTGAACTATTGTTTTTACCATAGTCCCACAGCCTACTTTAGTTGCCAGCACACGGCAGTGGAGAATGGAGCTGGAAAGCAGGTTAGTGAAGGGATGTGGCTGCCCTGGGACTGGAGGTGGGGAGTGGGATGAGGGTTTGGCATGGATAATCTGGCTGAAGGGCCCACAGGTAAGGCGGGGCGGGGCAGGGCAGGTTGGGCAGCTCCACACACCCTGCCTTGCTTCATCCTCCACCACCACCCCGCCTCTCTTTGTTCTTCGTTCACCATTTCTTCTCCTTGCTTGCCACCGTAATGGAGCAGGGGGCTGAGCAATGGACTGGTGCAGTGGCCACAAAGCGAGGCAGTGGGGGTGGAGGATGAAGCAAGGCAGGGGGTGCGGGGCTGCCCCCCACGCCCCCCACTGGCTTACTTGCAGGCACTGAAGTGCTGCCACTGCCGCCACAAGATAGAGCAAGAGAGCATTCAATCCAACCTCTTGTTTGTGTGTGTGTATGTGTGTATGAGAGAGAGCAATCCGATCCAACCTCAGAGAGTTATACTAGGGCTGGTGGTGGTGTGCTTCAGTTGGGACATCCAAGCTGCTGGAAGCGGCGGGAGTGAAAGGAGCCACCTGAGCAACCATGATCCCCCCTCCCAACCAGCCAGCCACACATGACCTACTCGCTGCCTGGTTAGTCAGCTGGTGCAAAGCCTTGCCATTCTCCTCATCCTCCCCACTCAAGCAGCAGCAGGCTCTGCGGGACAACAGGATTTCTCATTTCACCCGGTGAGCTCTGGCAGGCTGGGATGTGGGTGTGAGGAACCTGGTCCTGCAGTGCCTCCTCAATCAGTTGAAGGCTTTGTTCCTGCCTTCAAACAGTAAGGCAGGTGCACGCAAGTGAGCAGTGCACCTGGGCCAAGGGCAGCGTTGGTTCCTGCACCCAGACGATTCTGATTCCACGGCCGGCCTTACTGTTCAAGTGCAGGAATGAAGCCTTCAAATGAGCAAGGCGGCACTGTGGAGCCAGGCCCCTCACATCTGCATCCAGCCCACCAGAGCTCGCTGCGCCAGGAAAGGAATGAGACCTCATTGCCATGGAGCCCACTGCAGCTTGAGCGGGGAGGATGACAAGAAGAGCAATGCGGCTTTACGCCAGTCAACTGGCCAGGCAGGGAGTAGGTCAGGCAGTCCTGGCTGGCTGGGGAGGGGGGTCATGGCTGCTCAGGTGGTGCCGCTGCCAGCAGCTTGGGTGCCCTGACTGCATCTGAGCTGAAGAAAGCAGAGGCACGGCAGCGGGCTTGCTTTCAAAGATCTCTCCAAGTGCCCCATTTGCACACAGATGCCCATTTGCATGCAAGCCTGCTCTGTGGACAACGGGTTCTCATTCCTCCCCTCGTGTGGTAAACTCCATCAGGCTGGATGCAGGTTTGAGGGGCGCACTCAAACAGTAAGGCCTGCACCCAAAAGTGAGCATCGCACCTGGGCCACGGACAGCATTGGGTTCTGTGCCCAGCCAATTCCATGGTGACCCTCCTGGCTCCGGCCACAGAATGGGTTGAAGGAGCTCCATCTGTAGCAGATTTTAGCAGGCATGGAGTGTCCCTGCCACAGCGGTGGTGGAAAGTAGTTCAGGGGGGAGGAGACCAGCATTACAAACATTTTTCACTATGAAATGAAAGTTTCTGGGTCCCTGACTCTGCAAGAGAATGGGTGCCTGAATCTGTGTGATATTATGGCACCCAGGATTATTATTATTATTATTATGTCCATTCTTGGCATAAAAAGCATTTCCAAGCCAACTCTTCCTCCCTCAAAGGCAAAGAAACAGCGGCAGACAGGAGACAGGCAATATGAGTTCAGTGTGGCAGGGAGGGAGGGAGAAGCATGAGGTATCTTAGTCGGTTGGGGAGGCCTTGAGGGCCTGTTATATCACTAGAGCCCCCATAGCCATCCCCACCCTGAGATACCTCATGTGCCTTTAACGAATGGCACATTGGTATTCTTGAATTGTGAGCTCTTGGGAAAGTATCCCCTCCTTCTGTGTTGCAAACAGCCATTTCCAGTGGGGAAAACAGGACAAAGCAGAGTGGGGAAAAATATTTTCCTTTGCTATATTTGCAGTCTCAATTAGACTATGGTAGGGTCCCTACAGGAGAGCTCCTTAAGGATTGTGTATTAATAGGAAAACAACTAACTTACCTCTGATCTTAAACGCTAAAGCTGTTGCACATAAAAAACACAGAGTTCTGATCAACTATCAGAGCCATCATTTTAACAATTTTGCTGTACTGTTAGACACCCCATATGAAATGCAACCATGGGATAAACTGAGCCTGGTTTGTATCACTCTTTTAAGTGGCCACAAACTACTAGCAAAAGTGGCATTTGATCACAAGGTGAGGAGGCATCGAGAAATATTTCCTCTTTTGCATTTGAACATCTAAGAAGGGACAGGAAAAAAGGAAAGAGGAAAGACAAACAAAAAGAAGGAAAGAGGGGAAGAGACCAAGGAAGGAGAAAAGAAGGAAAGAGGGGGAAGGAGGGGTGGGTTCCACTTACCTTTGCTACCGGTTCACAATGGAAGTACGCGCACAGGGGGCACTTCTGCGCATACGCAGAGCATCCGTGATGACACCCAAGCAGGTGGGCAGAGCCTCCTGCTGCCGTTACTACCAGTCCACAAGATCCGGATCGAACCGGTAGCAACCCACCTCTGAGGAGAAGGCAGAAGAAAGGAGAGTAAAGAGTGGGGGGAAGAAGAAAAGGGAGGGAGGGAGGGAGGGAGGGAAGGAAGGAAGGAAGGAAGGAAGGAAGGAAGGAAGGAAAGAAAGAGAAAGAAAGAAAGAAAGAAAGAAAGAAAGAAAGAAAGAAAGAAAGATTATAATGAGAGGGTCTGAGGGAAATCCTGCCTTAGCACTTGGCCACCAGCAGCCCTGTTGCCTTTTGCCATCCCCATGTCCCCTCCTGCTGACCTCTCCTGGTGGTCTCCCATCCTATTGCTGAGGATGCTTTGGTTACAAAGCTGGGTCTCCTCACAAAGAGAAGGAGTGGGCCTCCAGCTGACCCACACACTTTGCCCACACATACACCTTATGAGCAGCCTGGCCAAGGAGAGTGAGCACAGCAGCAGTGGAAGCTGGCAATGCCCCCCCCCCAACCCTGATACAGCCCTCAAAGAAATTGAGTTTGACAACCCTTTACAATACCAAGATTATTATATTGTGCATGTATATGTCAGCCTAAAGACAACAGTGTGGAATTGCTCTAAGAAAGCATTCTGGCACCACACAGGAAAAGTTGTATAACATTTATACAAAGTTATACATGAGTAGCTGAAGCACAACAAAGTATGTCTGCCCTAAGTTTCTTTCAGTTCAATTCAGTCAAATGAATAAACTGTGGCCACATAACATCAATATTTATATGCATTACACTATTTTATTTCAAAAATTTCTTAGCTAGAAACAATTTAAATAAATTACCGTACTTTTCGGAGTATAAGACACACTTTTCTCCCCCCCTAAGAGGGTGGAAATGTTGGTACGTCTTATTCACTGAATACAGCAATTTTTGCCTTCCTGAAACCCCACCCCACATGTCCCGTTTTTGCCAAAAACAGGCCCATTTTTTGCAAAAACTGGGCCTGCAGAGGTTTGGGAGGCTTGCCGAGTGCTCCTGGGGGCTGGGGAGGGCAAAAATTTGATGCGTGGGGGGTTTGGGAGACCAAAAACAAGCCCATTTTTCATGAAAATGGGCCCATTTTTTGCAAAAATGGGGGTGTTTTTGCCCTCACCAGCCCCCAGGAACACTCTGCAGGCCTCCCAAACACTCTGCAGGCCCTGTTTTTGCAAAAAATGGGCCCGTTTTGGCAAAAAACAGGCCTCCCAAACACCATTTGGTGTCATGTTTTTGCTCTCCCTAGCCCCCAGGAGCACACCCTCTGATCATCCTGTTTTTGTGAAAAATGGGCCCATTTTTCACAAAAAGGGTTTGGGAGGCCTGCAGAGGGTTTGGGAGGCCTGCAGTGTGCTCCTGGGGGCCGGGGAGGGCAAAAACTTTTTTTTTCTTCTTTACCTCTTCAAAATCTTGGTGTGTCTTATATTCCGGTGCGTCTTACAGTCCGAAAAATACAGTATTCAGAACCAGCTTAGTGCTTTAATAAAGGTGTGGCAGAAGCTTCTTTGCTTTCTGTCAATGCCCTTGGTTGATGAATAAACACACTAAACTTTACTCCCTGATTTGCTGCTGCCCGAACAAAGCCACTGTTTGCTGTCATAGTGATGGCTTTTAAAGTATCTCCTGTCCCAAAGATGATCAGAGAACGGCTATTGATTTTAGAGCTAGGTACTAATCTCGAGGCACATTCAGAGAGTTGGTCTGGGACCACATGGATTCTATCCATAAGTAATGAGGCTCTATTTTTTTCTCCAGGACCTCCTATAGTTTCTAAAATAATCTGAAAATCTTTGATTGCAGATTCACAAGCAAACAATTCTTTGCCCTTCATGAATTCGTCCAGTTGTGGGAGAACATTCTCACTTCGCTCTTGTAAGGCCTGTTCGGTTAAGACTTTCTCTTTGAATATAAAGTAACAGCCTCCATAGCTTAGGGCTGAGACATATGTAATCAGAGTAGTAATATCTAAATTAACCCTATTGCATGTATTTACTTTCAACATTGTAGGAAATGCAACACTGGCTATTAAGATATCCCGATCTACTTTAGTCACTTGAAAGCATTCATCCCCGTTGTCAGATTCACTAGAACTTAAACAGTGATCTTCTTTAAGACAGTTCATTGATGGGTTCACAGCAACAATATCCCCCCGCACAGATATACCCATCTCTTTTAGTCTTTCTGCTATTGGGCTGGACAAACCATTGTAGAAAGCAAAAATAATGTGTGGGCTGCAATATTGTACTGGTTGTTGACAACTTGCTTGTAGGAAATTCTCTGCTTGTTCAATAATACTCTTGTCACCATACTGGCCCCTGCCCAACCAAATGTTATGCAGAGCTTCAACTTTCCGACCAACTGCTTTCACCCAAGTATGCCCATTATTTGCAACTACATCTACCATCAAATTCTGTTTTTCACCAAATGAGTCCTTATAAGTAAAAACATGGAGAACACCAGCAATACCCTCCAAGTTCTCTGCTGATTCAATGATAGCTTGCAGATGAGTGAGATTTGTACTCTGCAGATGAGAGTCTTTGATGCATACTCTACCGGCTTCTACTTTCTGCAAGAATTTTAGTTCTGCCTTTAATTTACTGCAAAGTTTTGCTCCCCCTTCTATGCCATCTTTTTGGGATCTGCAAAGAACTTCTGCTCTTTTAATTAGTTCCTTAGCCAGGATAATTCTCTCACGCAGCAATGAATGTGCAGACATCTTGGTAACATTCCTAAGAATAAAAAAATGTAGAGTTATTAAACATAAAGAATCTCTCCAGTCATGCTACTAATGCCTATGTGAATCCATACCTATAACGAAGCATTTTTACTTACTAGTCTAACAGGTAGAAGCAGTCCAGATACTAAGCTTGTCTAGTACTTGGAGAAAAGATCAAGGAATCCCAGGGCTTCTACAATACATATCAAAGATTAGCTTCCATATGATTTACAGTAGTTTTCATCCTTGTTTATAATCTTTGTTTAAAACTTTAAATCTATATTGGTGCCAAAATATAGATGGCATCCTTACAACACTGAACAGTACCTCCAAATCATGCTGTAAGGCTGCAAGTGAACGGCAGTATGAGCATCTGCTCAAGGAAAGCTTTGTTCTATAGATCTCTACATACCAAGACTTCCAAGAGAGTTCAAACTCTAATAGTGTGTTTGTTCGGGAACATTAGTGAATCTTTAACAGTTCTGCTCTATATATTACATTTTCTATGCTGCAATTGTTTTGCACCAGGATGATCACTTTTTATAACACCTAGCATAACTGATAGAAGAAAGGATTTCCTCATGTCTTTCTATATAATAATTTCTTTATTTTGAGTAATACACTGTATTGGCCAAATCCCATGATTGTTAAATACTTTAAATACATACCACAGTGCCACCTCCTGGACTGATAATAGAACCACAGTGTAGACACACTGATTTAAATATTCATCTAGGAAAATGCAGCTAGCATTCCAGGAAGCACAAACAACCATTCCATTCTGTGTTCAGGATAGTTTATATAAACTAAATTATAGTTTATGAATATAAAAGACCTGTCCCCTATATTTTGAGTGATTTCAAGTAAATTGGATAAAATTTAGTTTTTTTGTCATGGCAGCACCAGTCAACAACTCTGTGATAATTACACTCCAAGGAGGGAGGCAGAGAAAGATGCAATCTGTAATCTGATGTACCATATCCCACAGAAGGATCAAGAGAGATCTATGCCTCAGAACCATAGTTTTTTTAAAAAAATATGGTAACAACAAAAAACAGATCTGACTTTGTTCTGTGGTCATTCAATATAGACAGATGGGCATAATCTGTGATCTGACAGGAAGTTTAGATGGATCTTATATATAAACTGTTAGGACCCATATGCTGATTTTGCCCAGATCCTTTGGCAAGGTTAAAGTCTCAAATGCCAGGAAGCCTGATGTAGTGGAAATTGGAGACATAAAACAGCAACATATGTGGGTCCTTAGTGCTCTGAGTTTTGTTGTTCTCTTGCAGACATTTCGTTACCCATACTAGGTAACATTATTAGCACTGATAATGTTACCTAGTTTGGGTAATGAAATATCTGCAAGAAAACAAGCAAGCTCCGAGAGTACCAAGGATCCCTTATGTCAACCCTGAGCTACAATTATATTCCCCTTTATTGGAACTTTTTAATGTTATGCCAGTTAAGTGTTTTCTAAAGAGCCTAGACTGTTTCTTCCTAACACTCAGTGTCGACTCACCCCACCAAAGACCCCCCCAGAATTTTAAAACCTCTTTGGATTACATTTTAAAGATGATTGGGGGAGTTGGGCCAGGCCACCGGTTATGTAATGCAATAGCAGGCGCCTTTCTCAGCTTCGGGGAGTTCAAAGCGCTACTTCAAAACATCAATTCCTGCTTTCCTGATGCTGTAAATTGTTCAAAAATTTGACACGTTATTGCAAGATGCTTGGTTGTTTCTCATTTATGCTCTGACCAAGACTTCCCTGATCGGAATCCTGGCTTTCTAATATCAGCAGAAAAGAAACATCTCACAGATGACTTCTCGCTCCCAATTACAGTAAGACTTCCACCGTTTGGGTTTCAAAGCCCTCATTCGCATCGCGTGACAAATACTCACGAGTATAAGGCGGAATAGGACCTTTATGACAGGAGCCCCTGACTAGTTTCGTCGGCTTCCTATCTCACGAAGAAAAACAACAGCGAGTCATTCCGACGGACGCTTTCCAGCCAGCCTCACTTCCGGTTTAGATAAGAAGCCGCCATGTGCGGGGAGACAGTCTGAAAGAACTTTAAGATGGGAACTTCCCTTTTCTGAGTTTAGAATAATTCAATCGGTCGAGACAATCAGTCTCTCAATAATGCACTTGTAGTAAGTACTATAAATACAGTACATGAGTGAATATGTGATCCCATCGACTGTTTTTCTCGAGAGATATGCTACCCAATCCAATGAAATAGATTTATTGTTTAACAGTGAGTACAGATACTCCCAATAGAGATTGGATTTTATTGGCCATTTTTAGATTTTTATTGGCCATTCTATTTTATTGGCCACTGTTATTTTCATTCTTTTAACCACCCCTTTTCTTGACTCCCATTTTTCATTAACAGCATCCTCCATCTAGTGATACCCAGTCTCTTGAAGTAATCATTAATAGTTGTGAATTGTTCATATTTTTCTCCATCCTGCTTTTTTAGTGAGGATCTCACAGATTCATCTACAACTCTCTGCAGTTTTATAATATTCATATGTACTCCAGTTCAACCAGATGTTTGCGGAAATTAGTGGTATGAGTAGTTTAAATTCTCTTTTAACAATTTTTACCAGATCTAAAGCATGAATTTTATCACAGTATAAAGGTCCAATAAGCAGCTTATTACTTACTTGCATGTTAGATACATAAACTCTCATATATACATAATGGTGTATTATACCCAGTTTGGTTTAGTGGCTAAGGTTAGAAATCAGGAGACAGTGAATTTTAGTCCTGCATAAGGCATGAAAACCAGATGTGAGACTGTTGATCAGTCATTTTCTCCCAGTCCACCTCAAAGGGTTGTTGTTGAAAAAACAGGAGCACGGAATATTAAATATGCTTGTCACCTTATTTACAGTATAAAAATAATAAAATTTTATTAATTATAAAAATATATAAAGTGGGAATGGTAGAAAGAGTTTATCATTTTCTAGAATAAATTGTAACAAATTTCCGTGGGATTACATCCCATCAAAAATTAAAAATATTTATATTTGGGTTATTGGTAGCATACTAAATTCAGAGGAAAAAGTGATATTTCAGAGCATAATACAGCATCTGTTATCATATTCATAGATGTTCACAAGGACTTTCCTCCTGTCAGGTCAACCTTGATATTCATTCTTAACCTTCCATATAAAACACACTAGTTTTTCTAGAAGCTAAACTACATGCAGCCCCACAAGCTTTTCTAAAGGCTCCTTCTGCTTCTTAGTGCTAAAGCAATATATAAAGAAACCAGACTATGATTTACATATACACTGCAGAGAGATTATGTCAGTCTCTAGTTCGGGGTGTAAAACTCAATTTCATTTGAGGGCCACATCAGGGCTATGGTTGACCTCAGGGGGTCGGGTGGGCGTGGCCATCTTGATGCCACTCACTGGGCGTGGCTGGCTGGCTGGGCGTCACCAGCTTGACGCCACTCCCCAAACTGCTGGCATGTTTCTTCTTTGCAGTCGTTAGACCAGGCCAAAGCCACGCTGGCCCAATGTTTCTTCTTCGCGTTGTGTAGACTAGACCAAAGCAACACGGGTAGACCAGGCCGAAGCAATGCAGGATGGTCCCTTACATTTTCCAGGATGGCCCCACAAGCCAGATTCAGCCCATGGGTCTTATCTGATACCCCTGTTCTAGTTAGACATGAAAAATATCAGAAATCCAGACTTTTAGTAGAGCTGTGGTTGAACATAATTTTTAAACCTATTTATCTGTAAATGTGGTTTTAAAAATTTACTTTTAAATCTAAAAGCAGTCTGCCTATTAATTAGGGATGCACGCAAAGTGAATATATTCAAATCCATATAAACAATAGTGTTCCTAAAGTATTAACAATCCATTTTGGGTCAACTAGTGTGAGAAAACTCAAACCTGGATGTTTGGATTATTCTGGGATTCATACAAAATGCAATCCAGACAGGACAAGTTAAGGTACAGCTTTTCAGTTCAACTGCTCTTTTCTAGCTCTCAAAGCAGCAGAGTCCGTCAGTCTCCCCATCTTCCCAATCCTCTCATGCAATACATCCTGGAGCCCACCAACTTTCCCAGTATTTTTCTTTGTCTTCAGATATGGCCATCAAGGTGTTAGCATACTATATCCCCTCAACTTGCCACTTCCACAAATCTGCAGAGCACTCCCTGCCTATCCCAGCTGCCAGCATTCTTTGTTTTTCACTATTCCTCCTTCAAAAATAATTTGTCTGGAATAATACAGAATTATCTTGTTTTTGTAAATGGACCAAATACCTGACGTCTACAAACGTCTACAAGGACCACCCAAACCCAGCTACTTTGTATACAGAATGATTCATATATAGAACTCTCTATATATATTAAAATATATAAAATGTATCTTTGTGGATTACAGTGAAAGCCCAACTGTTATACATATGCTGCAAAAAGCAGCACAGTTAGGAGATTTTATTCATGTCTCTTCTGCAAAGTAATTTAATAGTGCTATATCTAGGCAGATGGGAAGAATTGTTAAGTAGTTCATCATCTAACGTCTTGTAGATTTTTATTTAGGGATGGATTAGACAGGGAAAATGAACATACAGTATATTTAGAGCCTAGTCTGACGTTTTCAAGATTTTTTTAAATTAAATGTGCAATGAAGCACAATATGTGCAACATTAAGATACACATGCAGTTCTGAGAGCATCTGTGTATTATAAATACAAATAAAACAAAGTATTTATTTTTTTAAAAGGGGTGAATCAACTAGTTTGTTTTTTTTTAAAAGGATGTTCCAGATCATGGCCAATATCTACTTTTTTCCATCCCCACTGGGATCCCCATACTCCACTACTGCCATGTTCAAAATGCTCGCCCTTGATTTCCAAATTAAAATAAAAAGGAATACTTAGTCTTCTGATTTGCATGCAGAAGGTTGCAAATATAGTCTCTGGCCACTTCAAGGTAAAAAATCCACTGAAACATGGAAGAAATACCACCAAAGTAAACCTGGGATACCCAATGTACTCACAGATTGTTGTCTAGATGCTTAGCAGGTTTCTTATCCCACTCCCCTTTTAATGTTCACATTAAAAAAAAAATCTTTCCACCTAAAAATTTTAATGGAAAATCTCAGTTTTTTCCCCTCCCATATTAGTATAATGAAGTATTTTGTAAATTTAATCAGAAGTTATATCAATTTTTTATTTTTTTTAGCTTGTGTAAATATTCTTGTATGTTGTTTAATATTTTAATTAGTTTCATATTTCAGTGGCATGTGAATCCATATTTTCATTAAAAAAATCTACAGGTTTAACAAAGTAGAAATTAAAATCAAAAGCCACTAATATAAATGAAGTTAAAAAGTGAAAGCAGTTGCATGTTCTCATCAAGATTAGGCGATTGCAGCCAGATAATCCTTAACCTCAGTTGGAGTGAGTCTTCTAAATCCTGCCTCATTACAGATGCCAACTTCTATGTTATCTTCAGTCATCTGTCCTTCAAAACTTTCCTAATAATGAAAAGATACACAATTTTGTTAAATATTAAAACATCAACTTTGAAAATTTTATCAAATTTAAAATGAGTATTTTTCACCTTTAATGTCAAGATAGCAGTATGAATAGCATCTTCAAGCTCTAGGTCTTCATTGTATCTGCAAAAGAACAGACATTTTCTAAGAAATTTAAAATATCCCCCCATTGTTATAACTACAAAATTAAAATTGTACAAGTGCAAAATTACCCCATAAATTCAGGAATTATTTTTTCTAGATTACTTCATGGTCAAGAAACCATTGTTGTGCCAATAAACAAATCTGAAATTTTCAAACTATACCAGGGACTGCCATGAAAAAATAACTGTAACTGAATTGGAAAGAGCCTCCTAATCCATAAAATGTCACAAAATGACTTTTCACTAGAATATTACAAAATATTCATTTACTAGAAAACAATCTGATAAAGTTTCTACATTTCCTATGACCCCTCACTATACTGTGTCTCTGATTCTGGACCAACTTCTAAAGTGCAGGCCTGCTATCACTTGTTACTTTTGAAAACACCATGTGCAGTCTAAAAACATACTTGTAAAGTAGGAGAGTGCTAGACCCGTACTTTGTTACAGCATGGTAGAAAACTTGTTGCATACTTCTCCTAACTTCCATTTATAGACCCTTCCTTTTTGTGTGTGTATGAATTACTGGATTGAAGAGGCAGAATGGATACATTAAGCCTTACAGTTTTTTCCCTAGGGTTGGGCAAGGATCAAAATTGTACTGAGATATCATTTTGCTGCTGAACATTGCCTACTCTAGTGATGTCTTACTGTCACCAGCAATGACCACACTGGTGTCTAGAAAGCAAACATAAAGCTTTACTCAAGATTATTTTAAAATATTACATAGCTACATTATGCATTGTAAATCACTTCAAGATATTTCAGTAGAGGAAGTATTGTAAATATATTAACAGAATACAAGAAAAATGTGACCTCTGGTTTTCCTTTTAGCATGATAGCTTCCTCTCTTAAATAAAAGTACTTAATAATTTTTGTTGGTTTTTTTAAGAGTGAAAGGGATACTTATTTTTATCTTATAGAATAACCAAGATGATGTTGGTGGACCAAATTCACTATCTAGATGAATTTTGATAAAGTCAGTTTTATATGAGTTATATAGTACAGCACTACTAATATTTAACTATAATGCATCCAAGAATTCAGAAAAGAACAATCTAGAAATGGAAAATTCAAATAATACAAGTCTGTAATAATTTACTAAATTACAGAATTTCTATTCTGTATTACCTTTTCTCTAGAAATGTCTTTCCATTTACATAGTTTTTCCCCATTGCAGTTGCTTTCCATGCAAAGTATGCCCCCTGGAAGATGAAAAGTACAGCAAATTAGAAATATGCATATTATAGCTATCTTCTTAATAATAAAGTATAAAAATAATGTACAATATACATTACTTACTACTTATAGTGAGAATAGAAAAAAAATAATAACCTTATATTACTAGAAATTCCTTGGAAACTTCCTAACTGTATAAATTCATACACAGAAGTTATAAAAGTGGATTGCAAGGAGATGAAAGGCATGATACTCCCAAGCAAATACAGTTAGTTCTCTTCCTACAACAATTCATTTAGGGACTATTCAAAGTTACAATGCACTAAAAAAAGTGACAAGACATTTTTTCATACAAATGATTGTTGTGGCATTCTCATGTTCAAAATGTAGATACTTGGCAATTGATTCATATTTATGATGGTTGCAGTGTTCTGAGGTCATGTGATTACCTTTTGCAGCAAAATCAATGGGGAAGCCAAATTTCACTTAACCACCATGTTACTAACTTAACAACTGCAATAATTCATTTAACAACTATGGCAAGAAGAATTGTAAAATGGGGCAAAACTCACTTAACAATTTAGCAACAGAAATTTTGGGCTCGGCTGTGGTTATAAGTCAAGGACTACCTGTAGTTATTTTTTAAGCTTTTGAGAAATAGTATTCTCTGGAGATCTGCAAACATTCTACTCACAAAGCAGTCATTCTGAATCCAGATTATATATTTGGTTCTGATATAGAGACATGTACACCAAGAAGAAGTATTGGCGTAATGGAGAGAGAGGAACAGAAAAAGCGACAATAGCAGAAAAAGACAAATACAGAAAAGAAGGCACGAAAATCAGAAAAGGTAAATAAAAGAGGTAAGTAGGTCATTGGATATGCCAAACTTGAAGTTAATTTAGATCCTATCAATGACAAAATCCTGCATATTAAGTGTACTTGTTCTTTTTTTTTTTTTTGGTCTGAAGGAAACTTTATTTTTAACTACTTTGGACTAAACCAATCTTGTTGGATAAATTTTCAGAGTATATAAAATGAATGGCAAAAATAGATATGTTATTCTTTTTATATTGCATTTCATAAAGCATTCAGTAATATAGCTGCGGATTTCTGTTCATCTAAAGGTCAGCTATGGTCTCAGGGAAAGCTGTCATAAGTGTACTTGTTCTATCATCTAGAAAGACCCCTTCAGATTTTGTTACAGCAGAATTTCCAAAATACAACAAATTTGCTTTATGTCTGAAATAAAAAACACCTGTTTTATGCATTATAATATACATTACTTACTACTTATAGTGAGAATAGTTGCAAAATGAATGATATAATAATGGGCTAAAGTAATAAACATTCTGACAGTCTAGAAAAGGGATTTTATCACAGGATTATTCTGACTATTGGTGGAAACCTGCCACTGCCTGCTTCCCCACCACCACATGGGAGGGGGTGTTTGGGGTTGAAATCCTTGGGCAGGCAGTTATTTTATGCAGAACATGCAAATTGCAAATGGCATTCTCATAACATGCGTCACTTAGCAAACATCATATGAACAGGTTCTCAAGCACCCAGATTGTACCATGTTTCCCCGAAAATAAGACCTTGTCTTATATTTTTTTGAATCCTGAAATAACCGTTTGGCCTTATTGCCATGCGCTCAAAAGCCCAATTGGGTTTATTATCAGAGGATGTCTTATTTTGGGGAAAACAGGGTAATTATGTAATTGTTGGAGTGTGCAGTGTTTTGCAATGATCAGAAGTGTTTACAGGCTGTAAAACACTCACCCCAGGCCATTATTTTTGAATCATCCTTTATTACCTTTAAAGCCCTGCATAGTATGGGTCCAGGTTACTTAAGGAACCATCTCAACCCACTGGGACTGACTCTTCCCACCTGTGCTGGCAAAGGAGGCATGCTGTGGGCCCCTTCAGTCAAGGAAACCTGGCTGGCAGGGTCCAGAAGGACATTCTCTGCCATGGCACCGGCTCTTTGAAATATCGTATCCTGTGGAAAACATTTGCTCCCACCCTCCTGTCCTTCTACAGGAGCCTGAAGACATGGCTCTTCCAGATGGCTTGGGGCTCCAACAGGGAGGGATCACACTGGAGGTGGTTGATGAATTAAAAGGCAATCCACCCTCCCATCAGAACAGCCTTCTTCCTTCCCTCCCCATTTTCTTTCTATAATTCTATTTTTCACTGTAATTTCCATTTTTATTGTTTTAGAAATATTTCTTTTATTATTTTTATGCTTCTTATACTGCAAGCCACCCAGAGTCTCTTTAAAATGAGGTGGATGACAAATAAATGTAATAAATAATAAAGTATATTAAATTTTAAAAAGTCAAGGACTATCTGTACTAAGATTCTGAAAATACAGGCATAGGAAGTACCATACATAATCACATATAAGCCTATCTGTGGATAAGCTGATCGTCAAAATTTTTGTATGTTTTATTTTTCATAATTAGTTTATCCATTGATTTATTTTTCATTATGACTAAAGGTCATCTTATCTGCAGATGGGTTTATCCAAGAATACATGCTGGATATATGGGCACTTTAAAAACGTATTACTGTATATAACAACAGATAAACCTGTAAGTGGATAACCCAAACCCAATTTTGAGGGAGAATTCTGACACTTAAAATTCTCGATTTATTTTTGGGTATATATGACAGCATCCTTATGTCATTATACATATAAATACAGATTACCAAAAACAGGAGAGCTGAAACAGCACAATCAAATATATTTTATAACAGATTATCATTTAAATCACCCAAGGGGCAACGAAGTTACAAATAATCTTGACAAGATAAAAAGAAGTCTGGCTATTTTATAATCTAGGAACTCAGAACCAAAGATAAAAGTGAGCTTTTTGGGACAAAATTTGGAAGTCATTATAGCAAAAAGTTATTCTGCTGGTGAATGTTGAAATAGACAAATAGTACTGTAAGGTATTGAACATGCTACCTTATTATCCAGATCATATGATTTTAAAGCTCACCACCCAAGCTGTTCAATAGCCGTGAACATTCTATCCTGGAAATTTTAACCATTATACATATATCTTCCTTAAAATTTACTGCAGAAAAACAGTTCTTAAGTTCTTCAAGCAAACAGCTATGCCAAGTTTTTATACAAAGCTATGAAGAAGTTTAATTTTAAATACTTACAGATGGATCAGACTGGAATAAATATGGTCGGCCCTCATTCCATCCACATATCAATAGGGACACTCCAAATGGACGTACACCTCTATCAAGGAAGACATCAGAAATACTGAAGGGCAGCATTTAATAAGCTGTTGAGGCATTTATTTTTATTTATTTTTTTACAGTCATATCAGTTTATAATTTAAAGCAATATGCAATTACATTATGTAGTTAATAATTTTAAACTTGCCACTCCTGATTCTGCTCCTATACTTTTAGCAGTAGCTTTTCAGGCAGAAATTAAGGAAGTGAAACTTTTATTAGCATGAAGACTGATTTAAAACAATGCATATGCAAATGAAGATATTATTAAAGGAGTGACAGAAGAAGTCATCAGTACTTCTTAAATATTGCAGTACTCCTAAAATATTGCTGAAGAGTATTAATATTACTTTTTAAAAATTTCTTACATTAAGAAAACTTATTTATTAAGGCATTAGTCATGCTAGTTCCTTGAGATATAGAATTAATTTTTGTTATTCATTCTTCATTTAAGAGCATAATGAAGCATGGGTTAGGCAGCAAGCAATTGTGGCACTCTTGTTCAGACTATACATTCAAGAATGTCCTATATGAAGGCTCTTCAAAAGGAAGAAGAAAAAGCAGAATAAAAGAATCTATCTTCTTATCTATGCTACAAAGATAAGAAGACATTTCAGCCTATATACCAGTAAATTATAACTACTGTCCAATTCACCAAAATCTCACACAAAAGCAGGACAAACAAAAATAGAATTTTTTTTTTCAGAAAAATAATTTAAGCTTATGTACTATATTAGGAAACTTTGTATTTTAATACAGCAGTATCCAACCTTCCAGTTCTGCGAACCAGTAGTGGCAGGGGGAAGGGGAGAGTTTCATGTGCAAACCATTTCACAAATGGAGCTTCCTGCGCTCGCCCATCATTAGTGGGCCAGATGGGTTAAGGACCTCTTAATACATTTAACAGATATTTATATGCACTAAATTATAAAGATAGTCCTTGACTTACAATCAGTTACAACCTACGTAAAAAAGGATTTATAAGCCAGATTCCGCCCCCCTCCCCCCACTTTGCAATCACATTACTGAACTTCGGGTAATACTGCTGCAATTATGGCCGTTTGCAGTCATCTTTTATGATAGTTTTGCCAAAATCCAGCACACACTGGTTTGTCAGGAAACATATTCTAAGAAAAAGTGAGTTTGCTTAACAATCTTAGTGTTCACACTTATGAGCAAAGCAAGTCATAAAATCAGGCTGATCACACGACCGAGTTTTACCACCATTATAATTTATAACCAGTCATAACTCAAGGACTACCTGTAGATACAGCTGAGCAGTTACAATGTAATGTGCCTGGTCATTCCCTATTGATTGCCACCAACTAAAATGCTCTAAATGGAAAATGTATATCCAATTTGTTTTAAACTTATTATGTGGTCTGAAGATAGCTGCCAATATTAATAATCAGGCAGCCTTTTTGTTTATTTATGAGGGAACTCTTTTATTAATAGTACTGTATGTTTCCCTACATGCTAGAAAATAACAAGTAGAAGTTTGCATATTCCTACATATAGCAAGGTTATGCTTATTAAGTAATCTCTACAAAATTATTCCCTGGTATATCAGAAAAAATGTGTAGTCACCACCTTCGTAACTTGAAGAATAAAGAAATAAGTGCATTTTATTTAAAAGCAAGTAACATACCCAGACTGAGTGTATTCTTGCATCACAGAAGCGATTCTCTGCACTAGCTGGGCTGTTGGAATAGGCTCATGATAGACCAAGTAGTACTGCTGAGCCAATTTACGAGCTCTATGAACAAGTACTCTAACAAAACAAAGTAAAACATACACACACACACAAGCAAAAAAGTTTATTATTAAACTACAGTGGAAATCTTTTTCATGGTTTTGGTATGCACTTAATGTTGGTGGAGAAACCAACGTTAAAAATAATGTGTAAAATAAACAGGCCCGCAATATCACATGGAAATAACTCTGGCAGAAAGTAAAACAGACTCTGTTTAGCTTCCCTTTTGTACTTACCTTCTTCATCAGTATAACCAACTGAATAATAGAACATAGAATGATAGCGTGGAAAATATCTAAGAGATCTTTTAGTCCAACCTCCAGCTCAAGGCAGATCTTATACTATTCCAGTCAAATAGTTTGTTTTTGAAAGCCTCTAGTGAGGGAGCACCAACTTTGGAAGACAAGCAATTTATTCATTAATTGTTCTCACTGTTGAATATTTCTTACTTCTAGACTGGATTTCTCTTTAACAAGTTTCCACCCATTACTTCTTGTCATCCCGTTCCTTTGGAGAATAAGTCAATCCCCTCTTTTCTGTCATAACCCTAGTATTGGAAGACAGTTATCATTTCTCACCTAATCCTTCCCTTTGATAGGCTAGACACATCTAGCTCCAGACCTTTTATCATTGTTGTTCTTCTCTGTACACTTTCTAGGGCTGCAGCATCTTTTGTACCATGGTGACCAAAACTACATGCAGTATTCTAAATGTGGTCTCACCAATGCAGTATAAAGCAGTATTATCTCGTCTAGTGATCATGATATTATCCCTCTGTTGATGCAGCCCAGAACTGCATTGGCTTTTTGGCAGCTGCAACACACTGTTGGTTCATAATTAAGTAATCCACTAGGACAAATAGATCTCTCTCATACTCCCTACTGTTTAGCCAGTATTCTGTATCTTTACATTGTTTTTTTCCTGTCCAAGTGCAGGACCCTTTTGTCACCAATGAACTGCATCTTGTTGGATAATAGGGGCCAGTGCTCACCTCTGTCAAGATCCCTCTGAATCTTGAATCTATCTTCCAAACTGTTAGCAATTCCCCCCAGCTTGGTATCATCTCCAAATTAGATGAATTTCCCTTGTATCCTCTATCTAGAACATTTATAAAGGTGTTGATGAGTACTGGGCCCAAGAAACTTGAGGTACTCCCAACACATGCTTCCCTCCATGTATATGTAGTTCCATTGAGCACTACCCACTGAGTGTGGTTGGTCAGTCAATTGCAAATCCATCTGGTGGTGATACTATTTATCAAGAAATTAGCTGTGGTCTACTTTGTGAAATACTTTACTGAAGTCCAAGTATACTATATCCCCACATGTTGCTGATCCACTAATTTAGTCACTTTATCAAAGGAGGATAAAAAGTTTATTTGGCATGATTTGTTAACAAACCCAAATAATGCTGGCTTCTAATAATCACCTTGTTTATTTATAAGTACTTACAAATCCTCTATCTGAGTGCAATTATTTTTATACTATTCTAAGAAGTGATAGGCCACAAATCTCCAAAAATGATTTTTAAAAAGACATCGACTATCCTGTTTCCCCCCAAAAAGACATTCCCTGATAATAAGCCCAATTGGGCTTTTCAGCGCATGGCAATAAGGCCAAGCGCTTATTTCAGGATTCAAAAAATATAAGACAGGGTCTTATTTCCGGGGAAACACGGTAATTCATGAGCTTTAAGGATTGGGCTACCAGGTCAGTCTTACAATGCTGATACATATATGTACACACATATATATGACATGTACTTTTCAGAAAAAGGTTTAGCTGTTATTAATAAAGGGTATAAATTTTCATATTAAGGATATATCTGGGATTACAGTCTTGGCGGTTAACAGCTTATTCATTGTTACAGAGCACAAAGAAATCAAGAATAGAATCATGCCACGAAGCCAGGTTGCTAACACACACACACACATACACATATATATATATATATATCTTTGGAAGATAAAGCTAAAAATGTAGCTTTTAGCAAGTATGCCTTCTAAACAATATAGTATATAACACTTGTTGAATTGTAGATAATTTTTAACCAAGTTGATTTCACCTATCTCAAAGTCTGCTCAAAGATCAATGGTAATATTTCAAAGAATATTTTTTAATATTTTTTTCTTATTTACCTGTAATCAGGGCCCATGCCACTATATACCAAGCCTATGTGTTTAGTAATAGGTTCCACTTTGTGTACACTCCGTTCATCATACAGTATAGATTTCTGCTTTTTCTCTGTGGCTAATACCACACCATTTGCAGCTACATAAAAAAAGAATGCACTAAATTATTATTAGAAAATCTTCCTGCTGCTTCCCTTGCAACCTTTCAAATATTCAGTACATAGATCAATAAACTGATCAATTTTTATGTATCATACTCAACATTTTATCAGATATTTTCTATAACCATTCAACTGCCATTTCAATAGATTATATCAAAAGAAAAAAAATTGCAGTCATTATAAATTCTATTTCATCCTTTTTCTTTTCTCAGTCAAACTAGTGTATGATCCCTTTAATAAGGCTCAATGTAAAATGACTTATCAGATTTTCATGCGGGTTGTAGTTGCTTCTTCTCTGTATTTACTTCTCTTTCTTTAATTATATCATCTTTTAATTTTTGGTTCATCCAGTGCCTAAACACTACATTTCCCTTGTTTTGAATTATACATCTGTTTATTTATTTTATAAATAAAATATTTAATAAAAAGAAATTTAATTTATCTTATATAAGATTAAGTAACTTTCCAACTGAAATGTGAAATATCAATATTTAAATAAATATTTAAATAAATATTTAAATAAAGAAAGAATATCCTAAATTAAACAAAGTAATAACTGTTTTTTAATTTCCTTAGAAATGTTTATTTAAATAGAAAACAAATGTTCAGCTAAATAATCAGCCTTTCTGATTTGTTTTAAATACTGGAAATACCTTTTATATCTATGCAATACAGATATAATGCCCTTCTAAAATATAGGAGCTACTCTCTCATAAAAGAGTAATGTACTTTATGTTAGAAACTTGAATAGTATGCATGAATCATAAAAATTTTAATTGTACTTGTTTGGGACAAACATTTATTCTAGCAATCAGTTTTCACAGGGCCAAACAAAAGCTCTTTGCTTTTATCATTTATCATTTTTTTCTTACTTCGTATCTCAACTAAGGGCATGGGAATATTTATGCTTAAAAAGTTGGTAAACATTAATTAAACAAACATCTTTAATACCTTTAATTCCAACTGATGGAGCTCCTGCTGCAACAGCTGCCAAAGCATATTCAATTTGAACAAGCTTTCCAGAAGGACTAAAAATATAGATATAATTCATTCATGAGACATTTGTGGAGAAAACATTTTCTAACAAGAAATTTTGTTTTAAACAAAAGCATACTGAGCACATTGCATAGTACCATAAGTACCAGAAGTTAAAACTTACCTTCCTCAAAATACTTGTCTAGAGCTAAAATTTTCTCAAAGAAATTAATGAATTCAGTATAATTTACTCTGGAACAAATTCACACACAGTAATATTCAGGAAAAGTCACAGACTTTTCTAATTCCCAAGTGGAAGCTATAAATAAAATATGTCATTTCATTATATATATTTTTTAGTTTCTGGAGAAAGGATTTTGAATAAACACATATCGGGTATAGTTGCCAAGATCAAATCCTCAGAAAAATAATCTGGATTAAATGTAATCTCCACTGAATCCCTTACAAAATCTAACAATTATTTTTCCATAAAATCTTCACACATGTGAAAAGTTAATACAGCCTTATATATCATATATACCAGTCCCAAAATCAAAAAGTAGTAGAAAAGGTCAATTTAAATTAGGCAAAAACTGAGATCAAAGAATGGAACAAAAAGTAATTATAATTAATGCTAATGGCTGGCCCTGAATGAAACCATACTTAATCTTTACTTTTGAGCTTACTTAGAGAATGCATCCAAAATCTGGGACAGATGATCTCTGTGGAATTGAAATTTGGCAATTTTCATAAAACAATTTATGATATAAAAATTATCGTAAAGCATTTTATGTCATAATACAAAATATAATAAAACATTTCTTGTGATCAGCTGCTGATGTCTGATTGTGATATACAGTTCAACTTGGACAACCTTCAAACCAAATACATCTCTGAGTATTGATATATTACCAAGGATCAATAATCAATCTGCCAAAGTCAAATGCGGCCTTGTATTAGAGAAAAAAGATGATCTTATCCCTAAAGACTGATCAAGTCCGTTCAAAAGCCCCATAACTAAACTCAAATTCCCCCTTTTTCGTTTGTAACGTAGTTCATTATTGTACCTGCCTGCCACTTCTTTCTAAAACAATGCGCAAGGAACAGCAGCAACAGTGACTCCACAAAATCACTTTCGGTTCTATTATTCCGGAAAGAGCAAGCAATCAACCAGATAGATTTTATCACTCCTGATATAACCCATGCAGGGTGCGCTGGCCGTTCGAACGGTTCGCCTCAAAGTTTCCCCTTCAAAAAAAGAATCTACCTGAAAGTGGTGAGAGAAAAACTGTAGCCGCGTTCCGCCATTTTAAATCGCGCCACCGATCCTCACAGCCGGCTCTGGCTAACTGCGGCTGCGTGCGCTGGGAGCTTTACGCGTGCGCAGAGAAAGAAACCTTTCTGGCACGTGATTTCCGCAGTTTTATGACAAATGAAGTTCGCCTGATAATTTCCGAAAGCAGCGCGTGGCCCTGAACTTCTAGGAGTGCCGTTAATTATGGTGAATCTGCGAGAAGGGCCACAGGGGCAGCTTCTGGGGCAGTTTCAAAGTCAAAACTCGCACAACGAGAACGGTAGTTCACCAAAGACATGAGACAGTGACACGACCGATGCGGGTAGTTTGACTGGGTTTCCCAGGATTCCTTGCGGTGGCTACCCACACGGATTTCGTAGAAAACCTGTGGGCGGAGCCGCGAGAGGTGCCGGGAAAGTAAGGAGCATGGCTGCCGTGCTGGTGTTCTCATCCCCTCTCTCCAAACTCCGTCGTTTTCTCCGAACCTGTTGGGGGCAACTTGGCGGCCACGCAGGGCCATGGGGTAAGCTTTCTAATGTGCTGTGGGTCACGATAGCCCTCAAGAGCTCAGTGGAAAATTTCCACGGTCATTTCCAAGCTACTCGTTGGAGGTGCTTGCGTCGCTCAATCGAAGGAGGGAATTAAAGGCTTTTTAGAAAACTAGTTTCTTATGAACTCTACGCGGATTTGCTAGTCGAGCCAGCTTCGGCTTTGGTGCTTGGTCTCCTTTCGTCTGTTTGCTTCCTTGCCTGTTGCTTTTTCTGTTCTTTTCCAAGGCGAAAGCATGGTAGGGACAAAGTGCAGGGAGATTATTTCTTTTGCTTTTTGTTTGTTTTTAATCTGGCTTTATATTTTTTAAAGAGAAACGGATTGTTAGTTAAATGGAGGATGGCATTAAAGCTGAAAGTAGAGCACTCTTACTATAGATTCCAAAATTGTTTACATCCCTTATGTGTTCTTCATAGTCTTCACACGTGGAAACAAAATATTAGAAAAACAATAAAATGTTATGACAATCAGTTTGCTGTAGAAAAGGCTGCACACTGGAAGGCACCTTAGGCAGGAAGCCAGCTGAGTGACTTGGGCAAGTCCTCTCAGTCCTAAGAAGCAGGCAAAGACAAACAGCTTCTGAAATTTTGACAAGAAAACCGCAAGGAATAGTCCAGCAGTCACTAGGAGTCAAAAACTGACTTGAAGGCACATACAAAAAGATGAGGAACAAGAGATGATTTCTCGTTTTAAAAAACAATTGAATGATATGAGATACACACACAGAGAGACACTTTAGATACTGACCCTGTGCATTCCATTGTATACATATTTATTCAGAAGTAAGTTCATTTGTTTTCAGGGCTACCTAATTCCTTTTAAGCATTTAAAATTACTGTCATGGTCAATAAACCTTATGTTAATATAGTGATTTTTAATTGTTCAATACAGGGTGGATTTGATTTAAATCAAACTGATTTAAATCACGATTTAAATCACTAGTCAGTAAGGCTTGATTTAAATCATAATTTTCTACATAAAGACTAATTCTTGCTGGTATAACTTTAATATGCAAGTAGATGAAGATTTTTAGAATAACAACTTTTCATATTAGTTTTTTTTATCCCCAGTTTAATAGGTTAATAATTCATATTTGGACAACTCTTCTGTTGTTCTTAGGAAGGAGAAAAATAATCATTACCTTAATAATAACAATTTAAATAGATTTATTCAACTGAAACAATAACATTACAACATATGTTATTTGCTTAAACAAACATCCATGTTTGTTAACTAATTTGACTAAACAAAATATATATATTTTAAGAAACTTAGACTGTCAGCCCAGCCTACACATGAAAAACTTAAATACTGTCCTCTGTAGCTCACTTGTCTTCTTCATCTTCTTCTTTGTTCATAATCTAGAAAAGAAAAACAAGCTTTCCTGCTTTATCGGGTCCCAAACGATTTCTCAATTTAGAATGAATGAGTCCAAAGGAAGAGAATATTCTTTCAACGCCTGCAGAAGAAGCTACTGCTGTTAAAAGTTAAATCATTACTTGAACAGTCTCTAAATCCAAGTGCTTAAGTGACTTCCACAAGTTCACTGGTGTGACTTTCTTTAAAATATCTTCAGCAAACATATATTTCTTGAATGGCTCCCCCCTTAGCTTTGAAGTTTATTATAGTTGGCATTACAGATGGATGATTGCTGGATACCCATGCCATAGGTAACTCCTCTTCCTCAGCACTTAAGTTTTGATACTGGATATTGACAATATTTGCCAAAAAAATGAGCTGGAGACAGTAATTGTCCCATTCGTTTTTTTAATGCTTGTAATTTAATTCTATCCATGTGTAGTTCTGTTTTTAAGTGTTCACTCAGTTCCTTCCAAATTTCAACAGCATCAGCAATAAAACAGCTATTTTTCTGTATTTTGTTTAAAGCTTCAGAGATGAGTTTCAGGATGCTCAGCGTATGTTCAACATTTCTCTTAAACCCAATGTTGAGGATTTTGGCCGTGACAGTGCCATCTATTTTATCTCGATTTTCTTCACAAACTGTCATCAGAATAGGCCAGTTCTTGATATACTGCTCAAAACAGTCCACCACAGAGTTCCATCTAACATCTTGTGGGAGCGTTAGCTTGGTTCCACCCATCCTTTTCAGAGCTGCTCCAGCAAAATGATTGTTACGGAAGTATTTAGCAATTTCAACAACATTAGTCTTTATTTCTAGAACACTTAAGTCTTTGGCTAAGAGGTGCAGCAAATGAGCACTGCAACCATGTTATTAGCTTTGTATTCCCTTCCTGCTCTTCTAAATTTCTTCTCATCTTGGATACATTTGCAGCATTGTCTGTGACCAAACTGCGTACTAGACATTTGAATTTTTGTTCACATGTTATTATAGCTTTTACTGCCACTTCTTGTAAGTATTCTGCTGTGTGCATTACCTGACGTATCAATTGTTTGTGCAAGGAAGACTTTCCCTTCTTCTGTTGTTATACAAGCACATATAATAGGATTATTGTGGACATTACTCCATCCATCAATACTTAGGTTAACAATTCTACCCTCCAGAGCTGTTGCACATTGCTCCATTTCTCTGTCATACACTTTATCCAGCAGTTTCCCTGCAACATCTGTTCTGCTGGGTGGACTGTATCCTGGTCTCAGTGACTGAACCATATTAATGAAATGTAAGTTCTCAGTCAGACAGAAAGAAGAGTTTGTTGCATAAACAAACTGGGCAATTTTTTCATCAATTAACTCTTTTTCTAATCTGCTAGTTTATCTATGGTGGTTCCAGGAGGGAAGGGTTTTTTCTTTCTTTTAGGTGATAGTGATATGTGGCTGTGGGTGTCTGATGATGATGATGCTAATGAAGCACTATCCTGGATGGATAACTCTGAAACTGTAGAACAGGAGGATGGTGATCTTGAAGGTGGATAGTTTCCAGAATACATGAATTCCCCTAAACAAAAAAGTCAATGCTGTTATTTTATTGTTTATACAATTTCTGCTTATTGTACACAGCACTGCCCCAAAAGGAATATTTGCTTTTCTTCATAACTGTACCAAATGACAGTAACATACAGTAATAATAAGAAATATAATTTTGCTCAAACATGACAGTTCAAGGCAGTCTTTAGAAATATGATTCAATAAAAATGTTTACCAACCTGAAGATCCTGCCTGTTCAAATGTGTTTCTTTGGTCATCTTCATCACAGCACTTCTCATGATGTTGCCTCATTCGGGCCACCAGGCCTTGCATTTCTTTGTTGCAGTGTTTGCAGGTTGCGCGCATGCCTGCCTTACCGATAGGTAAAGGAACTTCATTAAAATATTGCCAAACTGAGTCTCTTTTACGGCCTGCTGCCATTATAGGTTTTTTCCTCCAAGGAAAGAATGTGATAAACCTCAGGGCATACACACAAAAAGATCCAAAGACTTGTCTGTCTGTGGCTGTGCAGTATTGTGCTCAGAAAGTTTCACTTTCATTTTGTACTGCTTGTCTGCTTGCCCCTTCCTCCTCACACTTAGTTTCACTTTCTTCTTGTGCAGATCTATTCCACTCCAAACACTCAGAAAAATATTGTTTCTATTCACTGAACTTCTTGAAACTTAGCACTGAAGGGGTTGATTCTGTATTCATAGGTTTGTAGAACAATAGGATTAAGGTCTTTTTCTCAACTCTGTTCATGTTATAACATTTTTGCTGTGAAGAAGAAGCATGTGATCTCTGCTGAGTCAAATTCAGTTTTGAGAACTGCAAAAGTAAACCAAGCATCTGTGATAATATCTTGTAGGCAGAGAAACTGCCCAATAATCTTACAAAAACCTCTGGAAGAGCATGACATTGTGAATGGATTAATGGAATTTATTTACCAAAAAAATTAAACATATACAGCCTTATTCTACATAATTAAAAAACTAATCTTTATTTCATGATGGAATAACCTTTGGATGGTAATATATTTTCCTCAAAAAGTATTTTATTTAAAAAAATCCGATTTAAATCAAAAAAATCTGATTTTTTTTATTTTATTTAAAAAATCATTGATTTTTATCCACCCTGGTTCAATAAATATGTTGAAGTTGTCTGCAGATGGGCTCCAGCACCAATCCACCTTGGATGTTGAAGAGTGCTGCTAGCTTCAGATGTCGTTGGTTTAAAATCTAAATGCTAGTCAGTTCAGAATGAATCCCATTAAAAAAGGCGTTACCATTCCATATTGAAATTAAACTATTTTAAGTAGACTAAGATATGACACTATTTGAATTGATATCTTTTCTTTAAGCTCCGGCTTTAGCAATACAAGCTCCAGATTCTTTACTCAGTCCTGTTGAAGAGAAAACCGAGTATTTTGAAAACCCCAGGTTTTTAGACAGCATACTTTGGATGCCAGCTCCAAAGTCAAGGCGGACAATTGAAGTTAATCGCACCAGACGAAGGAATTCTGGCCATCTTATAAAAATAAAGGTAATTCGTTAAATTTCCCTGTGCACCATATTGGATTTTGTTTCCCTTGCATTGCTTTTATATGTTTCGTTATTCACTATCAATAGGAGTAAGTTGGCAAGCTAGTTCACAAATATAAATGAACATTTGTTTCATAGTCGGTGTGCTGTGAATATAAATCTATGCAGTCTGTG